TGCAGTGTTCTGATTTCTTAATTGTCTCATAATGTCTTTATACAATTAATTTGTTTGCATCTACATCCAAACAAAATTATCGCATGCTTGACATGTCTCTTAAAGTCTCTTTTCGTCTGTCAGTTCTCCCTCTGGCCTGTTTGTTGCAGACACGGGTCATTTGTCTTTAACGTTTTGTGTGTTTGGGGCTTATCCAGTTGCATCTCCATGCATCTGTCATGTTCCTCTAGCTCCTGTATTTTCTGCAAACTTGGGTATAGATCTAGAGCTCTGATGAGATTCATGTTTGATTTTTTTTTTTTTTGCAAGACCTGTGCTTAGGCTGTTTTGTGTGCTTCTTATTGCATCACAGCAGGAAACAGAGTGTCTAGTTGTGTCTCTTTTTGTGATGTTAAAATTGATCAGTGTGTGGTGGTGTTGTTAGTCTAATATGTAAATTGTAAATTTCCCTACTGGCTTTTCACATAATGATTTTAGCAGTCATTGATGATGGTTCCCCGGATCCATTATGTCCTTAGAATCGCGATTGCAAAGTGGTGATATTCTATCACTTCTTCAAGTAGTAGCTGGGATTCTTCTCTAAAGGACTTTCCCTTACTAAATATTTGATTTCTAAACTGAGATCATGTTCCTTAGGAAAAACAGAAATATAGTTTAATTCTTTTTCTTTGTTTCCCAGTTTTCAGAATAATAAATTCGTTCACCAGCGTCTTCCAAAAGTGATCGATGGGTTGGGATTTTTCCTCAAATATCTCATGAACTCATGATTTTAACACTTTGGCTATTCTTTAGTTCATTGCCATTATTGTACTTTTTGATGCCCAAATTCTCCCATCTTTGATGAATAGGAGCTTCTTGAACATGGCTCCTGTGAAATGAACTTTTTAAAACAAAGCAAAGGGATTATTTATCTTCATGTATGTTCTCCTGAAAGTAATAGAGAAAATATTGGGACTTTAAGGCTTAGGTGAAGACCGAGACAAATCCCAGTGAATGGGGTTGAAGGTGCTATGAGAGAGGGAATGAAATTACTTATGACTGCACTCCATGGAGACTTCCTATCACAAAACCTATTGATGACATTTTGCTTTTCTGCATAAGATACTTTGTGAAGTCTGTCAGTCTTTCAGCCTGAACAGGCCAGGTATAAATCTAGCCTTCTCAAAGGAATGTACAGTCTAGTTTGGAATATAGCACGGTATTCATTAGAATTAGGTTTGCTGTTTATTACAGAACTTCAAAATAACAAAGGCTTAGAAAATAGAATTTTATGCCCTGCCGGGCATGGCTCAGCGGTTGAACATCGACCTAGGATCCAGGCGATCAGGGTTCGATTCCCGGTCAGGGCACATGCCTGGGTTGCAGGCTCAATCCCCAGTCGGGGGTGTGCAGAAGGCAGCCGATCAATGACTCTCTCATGATTGATGTTTCTGTCTTTCTCTCTCTCTCCCTTCCTCTCTCTGAAATCAATAAAGATATATTAAAAAAAAAAAAAAAAGAAAATAGAATTTTATTTCTCTTTATGTTAAAACAAAGTAAAACAAAAAAGCCCCCAGGGCTGGCATGGAGGACCCAACGTCATCAGGACCCCAGGCTCCTCTATCTTATGTGTCACTGCCCGCAACGTGTAATTTCTAGCTCATGGTATAATACAGCTACTCCGGCTCCAATCAGCATATCCACATTCCAGTCAGCAAGAGGAAGGGGGAAGAGAATGAAAGTGGTATGATGGCCCTTAGGGACATCTCTTGGAAGCCATGCTCACTCACCATTTTGGCTCTGTTCCATTAGCCAGGAACCAGTTACATGACTGACAGATGTAATCTTCATTCTGGCTGGCCAGAGGTCCAGGTGACCTTTAAGGAGTCACTTAAGTTACGTGGAAGAAGGGGGGAGTAGATGCTTGTAGAAAATAGCAATCGCTATTTCAAGCCTATTTCAGAAGTCCCCCCAAATACTACCTCTTTTGGGAATGTGTCTTCAAACCTCAGAATGGGGGAGGAGGGATCATTTAAAGTGTCCCCTCTCCCACCACCCTGAGTGCCTTGATTAGCTGCGGCAGCCAATAGATGTTAAGCTGTAATCTGATCATTTACATTTTGAAATGAATTTTAGATAATTGCACTCGGATACAGCGATCATGATTGTCTTGTTTCATCACTTATCTCTGTCCAGTATGTGCCACCTCTGGCTACACTGAGATTTCTTGGCTATTCATGCTAGAATTAGGACTCATGTACGTACTTCAAATATGTACTAATTCTAAGGCAAGATACATAGCATTCGCCATTCACAGAGTTTATAGGATTCAGTTCTCAAAAGAACCCTCACAAGGAAACTAAGGCTCAGATAAGGTAAGTAGCTCACTCAGATATAATCAGCTNAAAAAAAAAAAAAAAAAGAAAATAGAATTTTATTTCTCTTTATGTTAAAACAAAGTAAAACAAAAAAGCCCCCAGGGCTGGCATGGAGGACCCAACGTCATCAGGACCCCAGGCTCCTCTATCTTATGTGTCACTGCCCGCAACGTGTAATTTCTAGCTCATGGTATAATACAGCTACTCCGGCTCCAATCAGCATATCCACATTCCAGTCAGCAAGAGGAAGGGGGAAGAGAATGAAAGTGGTATGATGGCCCTTAGGGACATCTCTTGGAAGCCATGCTCACTCACCATTTTGGCTCTGTTCCATTAGCCAGGAACCAGTTACATGACTGACAGATGTAATCTTCATTCTGGCTGGCCAGAGGTCCAGGTGACCTTTAAGGAGTCACTTAAGTTACGTGGAAGAAGGGGGGAGTAGATGCTTGTAGAAAATAGCAATCGCTATTTCAAGCCTATTTCAGAAGTCCCCCCAAATACTACCTCTTTTGGGAATGTGTCTTCAAACCTCAGAATGGGGGAGGAGGGATCATTTAAAGTGTCCCCTCTCCCACCACCCTGAGTGCCTTGATTAGCTGCGGCAGCCAATAGATGTTAAGCTGTAATCTGATCATTTACATTTTGAAATGAATTTTAGATAATTGCACTCGGATACAGCGATCATGATTGTCTTGTTTCATCACTTATCTCTGTCCAGTATGTGCCACCTCTGGCTACACTGAGATTTCTTGGCTATTCATGCTAGAATTAGGACTCATGTACGTACTTCAAATATGTACTAATTCTAAGGCAAGATACATAGCATTCGCCATTCACAGAGTTTATAGGATTCAGTTCTCAAAAGAACCCTCACAAGGAAACTAAGGCTCAGATAAGGTAAGTAGCTCACTCAGATATAATCAGCTTAGTAAGTGGCAGAACCAGGATTCCAACATATCTTCAGGGCCCATGCATGCTCTGTTTATTATGCCATTCTGAAAAATTTACTTGTTTTCTGTTTTTCCATTAAATTTTGGGATAGAAAAGCAATTATCTACCTGTAACATAGAGAGATGTCCATGGGCTTTTATTTAAAATTTTTTAAGTAATAAACTTCAATATATTTTTCTTAAGTGTTTTATGCTTCTCGTCTCCTTTAATTGTCCCACTCAGTTTGGTGATAATTCACTCAACACATTTTTCTTAAACATCCTTTTTATGTTCTAGGCACTGTGATGGTTGCTGAGTATATACTGATGAGCGAAACCATGCACACGCCTGGCCGTCACGGACCTTCTAGACTAGTGGGGGGGACAGGCATTAATCCAAAAATTACCCTCCAAGATGTATCATTGCAACTGTCACAAGTGGTATGAAGAGAAACATATAAGGTGCCACCTGAGTATAGTCGGTGGATTTCACTTAGGAAAGCTAGGAAGACTTCTCTGAGGAAGTGACATGTAGGCTGAGACTTGCAGTATAATTTAGCATTAACCAGACAAAGTAGGGAGACAAGATGTTTTCAGGCAAAATGAGCCAATGTTCAAAGCATCATAAGGAGCTTGTGTGAGGGTTGGAGTGAGAGCACATGAGCGAGGTGTGGGATGAGACCGGCAAGGGAGCCCGAGAGCAGCTCTGCAGCGCCTTGTAGAGGGGCACTGCTATTCCCTTTTCCAGAGGAGAAAAGTGAGGCTCCGGGCTCCTGAGTAATTGCCCAGTCTCACAGCTAGTTAGGTGGTGGAGCCAGAATTCGAGCTGTGGGAGGCAGAAGAATGGCTCCCTTACAGACACTCCGGTCTCAGTCCCAGGGGCCTGTGACTATGTTAGGTTACACAGCAATGGGGGAATTAAGATATAAAATGGAATGAATGTTGCTAATAACTGACCTTAAAATAGGGGGCTTATTTTAGATTATTCAGGCAGTCCCAAGGTGATCTCAAGGGTCCTTAAGTATGGAAGAGGGAGGCAGAAGAAGGGCTTACAGTTGTGTGAGATGAGAGAGCTTGACCTGCTGTTCATTGTTGGCTTTCACAACAGAGGAAGATGGCCACAAACCAAGGAACACAGGTGGTCCTAAAAGCTAGAAAGGGCAAGGAGACAGATTCTACCCTAGAGATCCTCCAGAGAGGATCCCAACCCTGCTGACATCTTGATTTTAGCCCGGCGAGACCCATTTTAGACTTCTGAACTACAGAATGGTAAAATGATAAATTTGTTCATCACTGAGTTTGTGATAATTTGTTATAGCAGCAACAGGAAACTAATACACCAGCTAGGCCCGTTGGCTTCAGATCCCATGTTCCTACCTCTTGTGCTACATGCCCTAACTGTTGAATGGGCTAAACCAGGAACTATAAAGATTAAACTCTAATCCTTTATATCACTGAGTCTAAAGTTTTTCAAATAACATTTTCAAACCATACAGCAAAGAGGATGAGTTTGTGTGTGTGTGTGTGTGTGTGTGTGTGTGTTTTACATATGCCTCTTAGTTTGGTGAATTTTGAAAGGATGTGGTTATGGTCTTTGACATCAGAGGAGAGGCTCAGCGATGTTGACTGAACATAGATAGAAAGATAACGTTGGAGGCAAGTTGCCTCTGAACGACTCTCTCAAGATCAACTGCCTCCCCATCCCATTCCTTGCCCTGAAGCTGTTTTCTCTGGTTGTGCTGAGGGCTGATGCCCACGGTGCATCATTTTCAAGAGCTGGATCATGAACAACTCGAACAACTCTGTCCTCCTAGAAGAACAGCTCATCAAGAAATCCCAACAAAAGAGAAGAACTTCTCCCTCGAACTTTAAAGTCCGCTTCTTTGTTTTAACCAAAACCAGCCTGGCGTACTTTGAGGACCGTCATGGGGTATGTGAGAACTTTGTTTTTATGCCTTTTTTAAAACAGTATTTTCTATTCAGATCAGGCTAAATCATGAAGATAGACATGGAATAAAATAAGGTGACACAGACATGCTGGTTAAAACAACCTAAAAAGTACACTAATAGTAACCAGAAAAGAATGTGGAGAAAAGTCTAGAGATGAGGTAGTTGCATTAGGTGATTTTAGCTCTAAAAACTATACAAGGGTAAATTTAATATTCATTGGCTTTTTTTTCCCTTTCAAGTTTGAGTTTAATGTTTAAATTCTAATATTTCATGTGGCAAATGTTATGCTTGGATAGCATTTAAACTTCATTGGAAGTATATTACATTTTATGGGACATAGATTAATAAAATATTAGCATTCATTGGGACCTGAGTGATGATCTTGCTCCATTGCCTTAGTGTATACTAGATGAAATTAGTACTTGGAATGGTTAAGTGATGGGTTCAGTGTCAACACTTTTATGAATTCTATTTGTCTCAATGGTCATCACTCACCTGATATTTTGGAATAACATTCTCTGGGCACTTAATTGTCTAAATTTGCAAGACACAATGATTAACCATATATCCCTTAAAAACTTTTCAGGAGACTAGGGTTATCATGTACAAAGCGTTAAGCAGTACAGACCGCCGGTTCTTTTCCAGAAGATTAGAGCTGCTTAGCTAAGTCTTTTTATATATCTAAAAACATTTTTATACTCCATAACGCCAATAATGATAAGAACATGAATTATCAAAATTATGTAGTTTCCCATCTTTAGCAAATTGCAGTATGTTATAAGCTCAGCACTAATTTATGATATACTAAGAAAAATAGTCCTACCTATTCAGGAACAAATTCTGTAGTTCTGCTAATCAAGTACGGTTTTTTCTAACTTTAAATATCCATGCCTATTGTCATTACATTGCCGGTTTAGCCTTTTATTTTAACCTGGATTTAGTTTGGGTGTCTGTTTCCCGTGTTGAGATGTGCAAATGTTTTCAGCAAGGCCGGGAAGCTCCTTCCTCCTGCTGGAGCAGTGGGCCAGGAAGAAGCAGAGGGGTGGTAGGTGGCAGCTCCCAGGAAGGCATGATCCCAGACACTCCTCTGTGCTTGCCCATTTCTTTTACTAAGCGGTCCCTGATGCCTGACATTTTCAAACAGAAGACAGTAAAAGATTAGGGCCTGGTGGTATGTTGGGAAATATTAACAGTCATTGTAGTGGCAGTGACAGTAGAATATTGGGGAGCTCTGTTTCACAGTGTTTTCCACTTTCTCTGGTTTAACTACTTCCATCACGGCCAATTTCAAACCACTAATGTGATATCTACTGGCTCATGAAGTTTCTGAAAATTTAACAGTCAGCTCTCATGAGCCAGTACAAGCCATTTTCAGCACATCACAGGCAGTTAAATACAAATAATCTCTAGAGAAGTAAGCACTGACTGAGCAAAATGCTTAGTTGCACATGACTTACATCAGATCCTTTGCAGGAGTAAAAGAGAGGGCCCCAGGTATTTTGAGTAAGTGTGGGCTTGAAGGAGCAGCATAGATGGAAACAAGCATCACAGCTTGGTGAGGTCAGTGCAGCCAACTGGAGCTGGATTCAAATCCTGCCTCCATCACTTTCTTGATGTGGGCAAAATATTTAACTTCTTTAAGCCTCTGTTCCCTGTTTGTAAAGAGCCCCAATATTACCTACCTCAAGTGATGTGGAGAATTTCATGAGAAAGGTATGTTATAAGCTTGGCACTATAATAGTACTATCTCAATCTTCTGAAAGGCCCTTGGGAGAACTGGAAAGGTTTCCCTGTTTTCATGACTCTGCACCTTAGGAATCGAGTGTACTGTGCTCACTATGGCATGGAAGCCATTACCATTTACGTGGGATGGGATGGACCATCAAGATCACCATTCTAGTCACTGTCTGGATAAGCCTCACCACTCCTCATGGATTCTCGCCTTTACTTATTATTTATTTTTAATTTTTAAAAAAATATATCTTTTTATTGATTTCAGAGAGAGAGGAAGGGAGAGGGAAAGGGAGATAGAAACATCAATGATGAGAAAGCCATTGATCAGTTGCCTCCCACATGCCCCACACTGGGCATCGAGCCCACAACCCGGGCATGTGCCCTGACCGGGAATCGAACCATGATCTCCTGGATCATAGGTTGATGCTCAACTGCTGAGCCACACCTGGCTGGGCTGACTTTTCCCTTTAGCCTACAGTCTGATCTAGTAGCAGAACCAGCTCTTGTAACATGCGTCCATCCAAAACTAAAATGGCAGGTGGGGAGATGGTCCCCTTTTCATCTTCTGTGGTTAGACAGATTCATGTCAAAGACCAGCTCACCATTTAAGAGCTGTGTGTCTTTATGTAAGTTGCTTAATGCTCTATGACCCTCTAGAAAGCGATTTACATGTTTTTAAATGATTAAACAGTCCTTCTTGATCTGGTTTTCTTTTCATGAGATGGAGGTCACCATAATTTTAATAATAATAGTAACTAATGTTTACTGAGCACTTACCATGTGTCAGTCACTGTGCTAAATGTGTATTATTTCATCTAATCCTTACAATCACCCTGTAAATTAGTAACCATTGTTACCCCAGTTTACAGATCAGGAAACTGAGGCAAAGAGAATTTGAATAACTTTCCTGAGATACCATATGTCTCTAGAGCCTATACAGCTTCCTTGATTAATGGAGCTTACTACTATTAGCAGTGGTTACCATTACTAGGTAACTGGGGGCTCCACTGGGTTATTACAAAGTGTGCAATGCCTTCTTGCTCTAAAATCCCCCAAGTAAGGGCAATCCTAGGAATCAGCAACCCATGCCATATAGTTCTTCTGCAATTAAATATGTTATGAGCGCTGCCATTTCCACATGGACTCCATAATGCAGTCTTGTCTTCATTCACTTCAGAGACCCTTCTGTGTGCCCACAAAGACATGAGAGCCTTGGTAAGCTTTGTCTCCTAAGTTCCTCTAGAATCTGTCCACTTCTCCCCATTTCATAGTCACTTTCTTAGTGAAAGCCACCACCATCTCTTACTTGGGACTGCTGCCACCTCCTGTCTCCTTGCACCCACTCGACCTCCCCCACACTCCGTTCTCCACACAGTAGCCAGCGTGAACATTTGACATGGTGACGGTGATCATGTCTCGATGGCCCTCATCAGTAGCTGACTTGTCCCTTCAGCGGTTCTCTCCTTTGCCCTGAAAGTGGACCTCAGAATCTCTAACACGGTTTCCTCTGTCTCATCTCATGTCCCTCCTTCTCCTATCTTTCTGGGCTCCAACCACACAAGATTTTCTTCAACTTTAAGGCCTCCACTTTAAATGTCACTTGCTTGGGGACACCTTCTTTGATTTCCCTAGACTAGGTCATCTCCTTTTGTTAAGCTCTGCCATAGCAATACACTCCCTTTCTTCAGAGCACATGCCAATTGTAGTTACACACTTATTATTGTTATTATTATTATTATTATTATTATTATTTTGTTAATCCTCACCCGAGGATATTTTTTTTCCATTGATTTTTTTAGAGGGCAGAAGGGAGGTGGGGAAAGGGGAGAGCGAGAAGATAAACATCGATATGAGAGAGACACATCTATTGGTTGCCTCCTGCACGCGCTCCAACCAGAGCCTCACCCCGCCCAGGGCTGGAGAGCGCACCTGCAACCCAGGTATGTGCCTTTGATCAGGAATCGAACCCAAGACCCTCCAGTGTGCAGGCTGACTTTCTAACCACTGAGCCACACCGGTCAGGGCGTTACCCACTTATTAATATGATTAGTGTGCTATTGTCACCCCCCCCCCGTTACATAATAAGCTTTATGCGGGCTGGTACCCAGTTTGCTAAAGATGGCACCACCAATGTCTAGGACACTGCCTGACACATATTACTCACTCATTAATTACTTGTGGAAGGAAGTAAAGGGGGGAGGGAGGGAAGAAAGGACGGAGGAGAGGTATGAGGTATAGACACAGCTGGAGAGGTTAGAGCTACACAAATGACGCCTAACAGAACCAGGCTCAGTGACAAGAGTAGAGAACAGAGCCTTTTAGATCAAATGTATGCTTGAAATTCAGTAAAAGTTGTCAGGATGTTAATAGAATAAGAACCTGATCCCAAGTCTTATGTTGCCATATAATCCCCATTAATCTAAAGTTATTTATAAACAGGTTTCTCACTATATTTTAATATTTGTAAATTTATAAATATAAATTTATACCTACTTGTCAAAACCCCCCTCCAACAAAGTTACATATATGGTGCCAAAGCTTTTTTATTTTTATTTATTTAGTTAGTTTTACCTAGCACTATATCAAGGAAATGTTTCTGTTTTGGTCTGTTTAGATTTATTCATTTGTTCAGCAAGCCTTTCTTGAGCACCTACTAAGTGCTGGGCTCACTGTGAGATGCTAGGATTATAGTGGTTAACAATCGAGGCAAGGTATCTGCCCTCGTAAGAGCACGTGCTAGCAGAGGCTGCGCAAGTGTAAATACATGGGGCAGGTAGACTGTGGTAGGTTCGGTGGGAAAGCTAAGCAGCAGCGGGGCTGGTTGGGAGGAAGGGTGGTCAGAGAAGGAATCTATCTCTGACGCATGGGGACAGCAGATCATACAAGGGGCCAGAGCAGAAGCCAGGAAGCCGAGTGAGGCGCCAGGTGGTCTAGATCGATGACTTTTTCTGATCTATTGTGTAGTACGCTATGGGTAACTCTGAGTTGCCCATCGGTTATTTTGTCTTAACTGTCCTACAGCATCCCTCTCCCCGGGGGTATCTGGTCCAGAATCATTCTACTCCACATTTTGGTGGAAAAGTGCCTGGTAGCTAAGCTGCCTCAAGACCAACACTGAGCTCAGGCAGTCTACAGCAGCGAGGACTGAAAGCAAGTTAGAATCAGGTTAAATCCACGTCGACTGGCCTCAAAAGACAGAGCAGCAAGCCTTCGTATATTGTTTAAAAAAGTGAATTAAAAAGCGAC